TAAGTGGGTTTGTGTTTAAGAATTGGTTGTTACTAAAGGCTGAAAACTTAAAAACCCAGGTTCTGTAGAAACGTCAGACCCAGAACCCCGAGTGTCACTAGTCACCTCGAGCCGCCCCCCATCCCTCGGGCAGACGGCCATTCGCCGACCTCGCGGCCGGTCTGTGCCTGGCGGGTGCAGCAGGCACCTGAGGCTGCGCCCCCTTCCACGCGGTATTCGGTCTCAAACCGATAGATGCACACGAAAGCCGGATCCCCCCGAAGGCTGAGCTACCCAAGTGCTTCCCGGATAGGCAGCTCTGTTTGCTGCCACCTTAACAGTGACAGGAGCCGGCTGACCCAGCGCCCTGATGCTCGCACACCCTTCGCTGCCGTCCTGGGGTATCTGGGAGAAGGAGGCAAGTCTGGTTAACCCTCCTCCTCCCTTTGGGGGGACGAGACGACATACCTGACAATGGCATAGCTTGGCCACGGTCAGCGAGCGAGCTGGCATGGCACACAGGTCCCATGGCCTCCCAGCCAGTGCGCTTGTCTGGTACACGGGAGACAGGGCTGACACACACACACACACACACACACGCGCGCGCTGCTCTCTGTCTCTGATTCTGACCCCTCTGGGGCCGCTCGGAAGTGAGATCGCAGCGCTTATCCTCTGTGGCCACTTACTTCGCTTACTGAGCCCCGCGTCCTCCAGATCCATCCACGTTGCATCTGTCCGGATCTCCTTCCGCTCTAAGGCTGAGCAGCATCCTGCTCTGTGGACGGGCGCGTTTGCTTACCGCTCACCTGCAGACGGACACTCGGGTTGCCTCTGCCGTGAGCTGCTGTGAGCAGGGGTGTGGCTTCATTCATAACCACCCCAGGCTGAGAACAACCCACATTTCACAGCTGGTGAACGGGGAGCATGTCGGTCCATCCACACCAGCAGGTGACTGCACAGAGAAAACACTGGTACTCACAAAACACTGGTGGGCCTCAGGTGCGTCCTGTGAGTGAAGGAAACCAGGCTCGGGAGGTGCCGTGGGGACAAGCCCACCCGTGGGACAAAATGGAAACGGCAGAGTGACAGCAGCAACCTTAGTGAGCCTGCTGGTGTGGCCCAGTGGTTGAGCGTCGACCTATGAATCAGGTCACGGTTCAATTCCGGTCCAGGGCACATGCCTGGGTTGCGGGCTCAATCCCCAGCTGGGGACGTGCAGGAGGCAGCTGGTTAATGTTTCTCTCTCATCATTGATGTTTCTATCTCGCTCCCTCTCCCTTCCTCTCTGGAGTCAATAACAATACTTTTTAACAAACATATGAAACTTAGTGGTGGCCAGGGTTTGCGGTGGAGGAGGTTGGCCACAGAGGGACTGTTTGGGGACAGGCTGGTGTGGTTGTGGTTGTGGTTGCCGAGAGACGTCCCCGGTTCCTTTTGTGTCTGGTGGATCCTGCACTTGTCAGGAACGCTCAGGACCTACAGCGGTGCATAAAGCGAGAAGGAGGGAGACAGCTACGGCCGCTCTGCAGGGGCCTGTTGCTGCCCTCATGTCTTGTGTTCTCGCTGTGTGAGTCGTGTGGGAGGTGGGTGGTGGTTTTGTATGAACATTCACATCAGAGGCCCAACACTGTATTGTTGGGCAATTTGACGTGTTCCTCTTGGTCTTGTGTTTCTGATTTTATTCATGTGGCTCTGCTTCGTCCATTGTCCCTTCCTGTCTCCGCTCGGGCCACAGACAGGAACACAGACAGGAACTTACCTGGGCGTCTGTGACCAGGTGGCGGTCAAGTGGTTTTCAGGGAGGGCCGCTCGCTGGCCGCAGCCTGTCACCGTCCTCACAGCGCAGAGCTGGCGCTGGGCTCTGCCCACCAGGGCCCGGAGCCCATCACGGCCCAATCGTGGCCTCATCCAACCCCATCCCCTCCCCTCCCCGCCCGTCGGGCAGGGCTTCCTTCCACACGTGACTCTCCAGGGACACACACAGTCCATGGCACTTTCATTTTTTTTTTTAATCCTCACCCAAGCGTATTTTTTCCGTTGCTTTTTAGAGAGAGTGAGAGGAAAGGAAGTGAGGGGGAGAAAGAGAGAGAGAAGCATTGATGTGAGAGAGACACATCATTGATTGGTTGCTGGGGATCAAACCTGCAACCCAGGAATGTGCCCTTGACCGGGAATCAAACCTGTGACCCTTTGCTGCGCAGGCTGCTGCGCCACACCGGCCGGGCCGTCCACAGCCCTTTCTAAGTCCATTTGGGGTTTAATAATTTGCTCCCTTTAGAGGGTTTGGGGCGCTCACTGCTGAGCCAAGCGTGGGTGTGGATCCTGCAGGCTGCTTCCCTGGCACCCCCGAGGGCCCCATGCCGGGCTCCCTCAGTAGGCTCAGGCCTGTGCCTCTTCCCAGGCCCACCATGTCCGGGGCTCGGGCCCCAGAGCCGGCCCTCAGCGTGCAGGGAGACTCCACCACCAGCACAGGGGACGAGGACGAGGACGCTGCCCACGGGACTCAGCACTCCCATCGCATGCTCAGCTTCAGCGACGCACTGCTGTCCATAATCGCCACCGTCATGGTCTGTGGGGGTCGCACCCAGCTCAGAGCCTGCCCCCACCCAGAGCCACTCCCACGGGACCCAGCCTCACCCTCCCGGGCAGCCTTTGGGTGGAGCCTGGCCCATCTCAGCAGCATCCTGGGCTCCCAGCCCCTCAGACAGCTGTGGGGGTGGGGGGGGCAGCCCAGCAGGGGCCAAAATCCCCAACACCAGCAGCGCCCAGCCAGAGAGAGACAGCCCTCGGTTCCTCTTGTGTCTGTTGGTAGATCCTGCCTGTGACCCACACGGAGATCTCCCCTGAGCAGGTACTTGGGCACTGTCTGCAGCCTCTGGTGTGCGGGAGGGTCCACTCCAGTACCTGGCTGGGGAGGGACCCAGGGAGCCTGGGACAGGCTGGGGGGACGCGGGGAGCCTGGGACAGGCTAGGAGGGAGGGCGTCGGGTCCCTGCAGTGGGTGCTTGGAGCGAGGGCCTGGTGGCTGATGGCCTGAGAGACAGGTTAACCTCACAGAGTGAGTGGAAAGGGTGTTCTTCCTAAGGCAGGTCCCCCTGAGCAGCCAGCTGGGTCCCCGTGAGCAGCCGGCAGGTCCCCTTGAGCAGCCAGCTGAGTCCCCGTGAGCAGCCGGCTGGGTCCCCCTGAGCAGCCAGCTGGGTCCCCGTGAGCAGCCGGCAGGTCCCCCTGAGCAGCCAGCGTGGAGCATTTCTGCCCTGTGGGGTGAACAGCAGTTAGGAGCGGACCTGGCTTCAGAAGACACTGGGAGGTCCTGGGGTGCCTCCTGTGCAGTCGGTGGCACCCTCTCGGCCTGGGGGTGAGGATGCCCCACACGCTGTGGTCTGGTCCCAGCAGTGCACGTGGCCTGGATGCCCTGGGGACGTGGGTGCTTGGTTTGGCTTTCTCCTCGGACAGGTGGTGACTGCCTCTCGCGGGGCTTGGGAGAGAGTTCACTAGGAAGGCGGTGGGTCTGCCCTGGGCAGCAGCAGCCACACGGACAGGACAGGCGGGCGCAGTCCCCAGCCCCCAGGGGGCGCCCGCAATGCTCAGGGTAGGTGCGGCCACCTGACCCCTGACCGGACGTCCTCTGTCGCCACAGTTTGACAGAAGTATCCAGAAACTTCTAGCAACCAGGATTGCCGTCTACCTGATGACGTTCCTCATCGTGACCGTGGCCTGGGCAGCACACACGAGGTGCCAGCTGGGGCGCCTGCAGCTTGCCACCTGGGTGGGGTCACTGGCAGCTACGTGCACTCAGCGCCCACGACGTGCCATTCCGGGGGTTGGCGAGCTGCCCCTCACTTGCTGGGCTAAGCCCCAAGGGCCTCAGGCAGTGGGCTCCCCTTCGCCAGTTCTCATCCAGGCCTCTGCCTTGTCCCTGCACATGGCCGTGCGGGCCCGGGGCAGTGAGGGGAGAGCTCCCAGGTCCGGGTGGGGCATCGCTGCCGCCCTCTAAAGCTGCCTGGGACGCACAGGGCAGGGCACAGAGGGATGGAGGGACGCCCTCGGCTGTGGCCAGCGCCCTAGGCTGAGCTGCTCTCCAAGACAAGCTCCCTTAGGATCCGAGGGAAAAGGGCCTCAGCACTGCGGGGACCCAGAGCCCAGCAGGCGCCAGGGAGGGAGTTGGGGTGGGGCACCTGGGAGGTGAATGCTCCGGACGAGGGGTGCTGGGCGGTGCTTTAGGCTTGGCACTTGCACTAAGTGTCGCAGTGCTTTCAGCAAAGTGACAGCTTCCTCCAGCTTCCCCCCCCCCCCCCTTCACAGAGAGGAGGCGGGCTGGCCGAAGCCCCTCTGGCCGTCCTGCTGATGCTGGGCAGGCTGCGCTGGTTCACCCGAGGCCACACCCTGTGCCAGAGTCTGGCCTCAGGCCCCAGGAGCCTGCCCTCACCTGGGACCTGCCCTGAATGCCGGCCCTGGAGGCCACGAGTGGCCCCTGGTGGACACAGACCACCAGGTGGAGGACTCAGCCACTGAGCCAGGCCAGGGGCAGGCGCATCCTGGGGCCCGAGCCCTGAGGAGACCCAGGAAGGCGGGAAGGCGGGCGGCTCGGTGTGTCTCCAGCAGCTGGGCCGACTTGGGAGCTGCGTGCGTGGCTTTGGCTTCCTCGCCTGCACGACATGGAGCCTGGGAGCAGCTGTTCCGTGGGTGCCGAGTGGGCCATCCTGAGAGGGAGTCCTTGTCTGTTTTTCCTTTATCTCATTTTTTAAAGATTTTTAAATTGATTTTGCAAGAGAGAGAGAAGCAGCTATGTGAGAGCAAAACACGGGTGGGCTGCCTCCTGCACAGCCCTGTGGGGGAACAAGCCCGCATCCGGGAGGGGCTCTGACAGGCAACCCTTCAGTGTACAGGACGACGCCCACCCCTGAGCCGCACCGGCCAGGGCGGGCTTCCTTCCTTCAATGGCCTTTGGACCCGAGGCCTAAAGGGCAAGTCTGCTGTGGGCCTCACACCCCGGGCCCCGTGGCCAGCCTGCCCCGGGCGTGAGGACAGGGACCCGGCGCTGCCAAGCGTGTCCGTTGGTTTCCACAAACTGCTTCTGCTCGAGCAGCCGATGCGGGTGAGAAGGAACGGACACGCGTGGGGGCCAACGTGCTGGTCTCGGGGAACCTCCGCTGCGTGTTGTCCGTCTGTCCGACCTCTGCGCATGGCGGAGTTTTAAACGTGGTTAAAGCGGCGCGTGGTGACGGTGCTGCTGGCCCGTGTTGTTGATGGCGCGTCTCCGGCCTCTCTCGCCGGCTCAGGTTGTTCCAGGTTGTGGGGAAGATAGACGACACCCTGGCCTTGCTCAACCTGGTGAGTTGCCTCCCCCTGAGCAGAGGCGACTGCATGTGGCTCCGCCCTCCCAGGAGCCAGTGAGGGATTGAGGGAGGCTCTTGGCTCCGCC